CCCCAGTCACCAGTCTAGCTGCCGCATTCTGGATTAGTTGTAGTTTCCGATCACCTTCAAAGGTAGCCCCACGTAGAGCGCATTGCAGTAGTCCAAGCGGGAGATAACTAGAGCATGCACCACTCTGGCGAGACAGTCCGCGGGCAGGTAGGGTCTCAGCCTGCGTACCAGGTGAGTTGGTAGACAGCTGCCCTGGATACAGAATTGACCTGCGCCTCCATGGACAGCTGTGAGTCCAAAATGACTTCCCAGGCTGCGCACCTGGTCCTTCAGGGGCACAGTTACCCTATTCAGGACCAGGGAGTCCTCCCACAGCCCAGCCCGCCCCCTCCCCAAAACAGTACTTTCTGTCTTGTCAGGATTTCAACTTCAATCCATTAGCCGCCATCCATCCTCCAACCCCTCCAGGCACTCACACAGGAACTTCACGCCTTCACTGGTTCTGATTTGAAAGAGAGGTAAAGCTGGGTATCATCTGCATATTGATGGACACCCAGCAAAAGCAAAAGTATATTTGCTTTTCTCTAAAACTTCTGCTAAGTATCTCAGCCGCAGGATTCCTTTATGAGCTGAAATATAAATGAGGCAGAGTCCCTTAATATAAAAGTAGCCTTTCTGTGTTATAAGAGCACATTTGATGTAAACTTGCTTCTACGGTGATCAGTGTATTGATACAAGACCTGCAACAAGAAGTACCTCAAAGACAGTGTAGTTTCTAGTTTAAGCAATTGATGCAATTGGGCTCTTCAGTGGTACCGTTTACTGTGCTGTCTGTACTGATCTTGCTCTGTTTGGACTAGCAATAATTGGAATGCAGAGGGCATGGTCCCTTTCTGGCTTGGCAAGAGTTAGACAGGCTAATGTCACTATCTTTCGTCACTTGCAGAAGCTAAGTGCCTGCTGGAAGTGACAAGCAATTCCGGAGAGGCCACTTCATGGTACAATTTAACATGTGCACGGAAAATTAAAATGTTAAGTGTAACAAGCACATGTTTATCACTATGGTTTAGCGCATGTGTATGAGCTGGAATGAGTCCTAATCGAAGTCGCCTATTCCTTCAGTGTTAATGGGAGAAGGAGTTCACCAGTATTATGTATATATATGCACTCCATTGGCCATGTCCGCATTGCCACACTAAACCATGGTTTGGTGGCTGTGTCCATGGAGCTGCAATGAGCCTGAACAAAACATCAGTCTTGTGTGCTGCCATCATCCTCTGCCAGGAGGAGAACTTCATCGAGCATTTATTTTTCAGTTTCCTCCTAATCCTGCCTTGTCGTTTGAAAACCAGGGAACTGTGATTGTCACAAAATCTGGTCAGTTTACAAAACAGAGCCATCGTCAAAACCACTGGTTATGAAACAAGTTGCACACTTAACTTTAAGTGTTCACATACTTATTTTGTTACTACTTAACTGTATATTAAGCAAATAGTCTTTCACCATGCTGATAAGAAAACCCTTCATATTTTAACAGCTGATGTTAATTCTTCAAAATCAGTCACCAGTGATGCACCCTATGTTATAAAAGTGGTAAGTATATATTTGAAGTAGTCCATTTTCAGATGCATGCACGGAACATCTAGGAAAACTAGAAAGACTTTCAGTAGGTATGTGGAATTTTGTGGAGAGAAAATCCCTTAGGCACCCAATGTCCCATGAATTACAAGTAGGGTTGAAATATGTTTAGATAAGTTGAAGCCTTACTTTAAAATCTTTATATTCTGTTCTGCCATTAGCATTCCTTATGCATTGCTAAACCACTTCATATGAACATTCATAAATGGAAATAAATAAATACATAATACATTTAAAAAATGCAAACATTGTCCTGTTGCTGAAATAACTGAACACATACTGACCTACATTCCTATAACTGCACGGTTTATAGTCTCAAATTACACTACTGCATTCATCTGCTGGGATTGTTTTTCTGCTTTAAGATTCCCTGAAATATTTATCAATCGCATAAGAAATGGACAGTTACTAATGCTGTGACAGATTGGAGCTGGAGTACAGGCTTATAACTTTTGGTATATGTCCTTATGGTATTAGAGGTGCTTAGCTATAATTCCTTATTTGGCAACTCATTCTGGCTACAGGCCATTTTACACAGTGGAGGGCCAGATCATTTTTTCCCCTGTCCGGTCCCTGCTGTCCAACTGTACCACACATCTTATTGCCTGACATTGTTGTTATTTATTTAATTTATATACTGCCCTATACTTGGAGGTCTCAGGGCGGTTCACAAAACAAGGCTGTCGATATAGAGGTGGCTGGGAGATGACTGGGCACTTGAAGTTGGCCCTTGTTTCAGAGCCCCCTGCTATATTGGGACATTCTGACGCCATACACCAGCCAGACCAGCAACAGTAGGAAAGAGAGTCATGCGTTGCTTCTGATACAGCCCATTTCCCCATAAAAAGTGAACATGTCACAGAGGACAGAGTGCAAGCTTTGTGCAGCCACTTCCTTTCTGCTGCCTCTCAATTCCCTCTTCCACAGTCTCTCCACCCCTTGAGAAGGAGTGGATGTCACATGCCTGGAAAGTTGGAGGGCGTGGGAGATGGCACCCCTTGAAGCAAATGGGATTTGGCCCTGTTTGCTGAAACCCTGCTTGCTATTTACCTGTCTTGAGACTATTGCCCATTTTGACAGGAAGAGGGAAGCCGGTTTGTTTGTTTGTTTGTTTATTTATTTATTTATTTATTTATTTATGCATGCCAAATTGTTAAGTTTCCATTTAGCATAGTTGCAAGTATTATTGCCTGGTAGCAGTAACCTAGTGCCGTGAATTTGCCTGTATCGGGCTGCCTGTTATTTATAGAGTTATAGACACTATGAATCGATTAAGTTTATGTTTGTAAAAATAGTCTATACATCATGCCCCTGACTACTAAATGTATTGAAAAGCATTAATGCGTAGTTCAGGCCGGTGATGTATGTGTGGTTTTAAGAGGATGCTGATATAAACATTTTATTTATACAGAATATCAGTACTTTGTAGCTTGCTTTAGTGTGTAACCATAATGGAGACAAATTGTGTTAATAAATGAATGCCTCTGACTACGTAGAATAGACAGCTTGAAAACATAAATGTCTTTTAGAGATGGGGACGTATGACCCCAGATGTAGATTTGTGAAGTACTTGTGTACATTTGAGTTTACCCTGGATCAAGATTGAGTTGCTTAAGTCAACTTCATGTGGACAAAATAATGTGGTATATGACATGGGCAAAGTTTGTACTTTGGAGAGAAGAAAACAAGGTTGAGACGGGTTTCTTGGCAAGGGAAAGCCTACCATAACATTCAACTTGCTTCAGATCTCAGCAGGACGTGGCTGAACTAACATGAACATTTCTGACCAACATTAATCACCCATGCCTACTAGGCTTTGGTGTGCATAAGCTCATTCACTGCCATTAGTGGTAAATGATCTGTGCTCTTTAGTATCTGAGCCTTTGTTGTCATAGGAACTGATTCGATATAGCTCAGTTGGTTAGAGCATGGTGCTGATGGCGCCAACGTTGCAGGTTTGATCCCCCTATGGGACAGTTGCATTTCCTGCATTGCAGGGGCTTGAACTAGATGATCCTCGGGGTCCCTTCCAACTCTATGATTCTATTATAAAAAAAGTATCCCTTGTACATATTGGAGGGACCATAGCTCAGTAACAGAGCCCATGCTTTGCATGCATATAGTCCCAAGTTCTATTCCTGGTGTCCAGTGTGGTGTAGTGGTTAAGAGCAGTAGACTCGTAATCTGGGGAACCGGGTTCGCGTTTCCGCTCCTCCACATGCAGCTGCTGGGTGACCTTGGGCCAGTCACACTTCTTTGAAGTCTCTCAGCCCCACTCACCTCACAGAGTGTTTGTTGTGGGGGAGGAAGGGAAAGGAGAATGTTAGCCGCTTTGAGACTCCTTAAAGGGAGTGAAAGGCGGGATATCAAATCCAAACTCTTCTTCTTCTTCTTCCTCAACCAAAAATATCAGGGAACAGGTGATGGGTAAGATCTCTGCATGAGATCTTTGGGAGCTGTGGACTGTTAGAACAGACAGTTTGGGGCTAGATGGACTAGTGATCTGACCTGTTAGAGGGTATATTCCATTGTTACAAACACATATTTGCTCTAAGAGGGGGTTAAGCAAAAATGTATATATTAGTAATTTGCTGATTCTGCATACCACAATATTACTGAAATGCAGAATATCACTTAAGTTTTCAGTCACCATATTAAGTTAATCCCTGCTCCCAGCATTGAAATCTACAAAAATGTTCCTTTTTTAATTGAATGCTTTTTTGCATTATGTAACAGTCATTAAGAAGATAAAGAAAGAGGAAGAGAATTTACAGTGGTTAGGTTGTTAGAATTCTGCATAGGACAGGGGAAGAAAGCTTTATCTGTTAAAAAGTATTTACTGGAGAGAGGCGAGTACCCAACAGATTTGAAAGCTTTCACTTTTTTTTTAAATTAAAAAAATGTGTTTTTTAAAGGAACCCAGTGACAATGGACCACTCTTTACAGAACTGAGTTTCTACACGCGGACAGCTAAACCTGACCTAAGTAAGTAATCTACTGGTGATTGAATCAACAAAACAATTTCTTTAAACCTTTTTGAATATGCTACTGTGAGACGTTGGGAGAGGTGTAATAATATATTTAATGATTCATGGGCAACGAAAACCATAGTTCTCGGAGGACTCTGAATGGTAACTTTAAGGGCATACCTAATTACAACTGGATGTTTCTTCATAATGGTGCAGTGTTGGGTAGTTATTGAAGGTAATTGTTTATAAACAGGGCCTACTGAACTGGAACACTTTCTCTTGTCCCTTTTTATGCTCGAAGGTCAGAGCCCATTGAGGCTGCAGCCACTAATTTCCAAGGGGAAAGTGGAATTTTCGTAGCGCAAGGTGGCTGTTCAAAGGGGGGGAGAAAGCATAAGCAATTTTAATTAAATAATATGCTTGGATTTGCTAGGAGACGAGATGTTTGCTATATTAAAATTGCCAAGAAGGCAGAAAGAAACTCGTGGAAGGCATAAATGATAGAAAGGGCACAATGCAGTTCCTAGGTTGAGCCCTTTTAAATCCCACTAATTTCAGTGAGAGAGACCTAAGCACATGCTTAACTCTGTTAGAGCATGAGACTCTTAATCTCAAGGTCATGGGAACGAGGCCCACATTGCGTAAAAGACTTCTGCATTGCAGCGGGTTGAACTAGATGACCCTTGTGGTTAATAATAATAATAATAATAATAATAATAATAATAATAATTTATTATTTGTACCCCGCCCATCTGGCTGGGTTTCCCCAGCCACTCTGGGCGGCTTCCATAGAACCAAAAATACACTAAAATATCACACATTAAAAAAATCCCTGAAAAGGGCTGCCTTAAGATGTCTTCTGAATGTCAGGTAGTTGTTTATCGCTTTGACATCTGATGGGAGGGCGTTCCACAGGGCGGGCGCCACTACCGAGAAGGCCCTCTGCCTGGTTCCCTGTAACTTGGCTTCTCGCAGCGAGGGAACCGCCAGAAGGCCCTCGGCACTGGACCTCAGCGTCCGGGCAGAACGATGGGGGTGGAGATGCTCCTTCAGGTATACTGGGCCGAGGCCGTTTAGGGCTTTAAAGGTCAGCACCAACACTTTGAATTGTGCTCGGAAACATACTGGGAGCCAGTGTAGGTCTTTCAAGACTGGTGTTATGTGGTCTCAGCGGCCGCTCCCAGTCACCCTTCCAACTCTATGATTCTGTTGAGCCTTAAAATGCTTAGTGTTGATTAGATCACATGCTTAGTAACTAAGGGAGCAGTCCTATGCACAAAAAGGTTGGCATAAGGCAAGCTGGTGCAAGTTAAAGTTATACGAGATCCAAACTCCGTTCAGTGGCAGGGCTGCTGGTTTGCCTAAGCCTGGCAGATGGAAAACAGGCCTCAAAAAAGGTGTTCTGTTCTGGGTCGCCAGGTCACATGACCAAACTGATTGGGCTTAGGAGCCCTCCTAAGTCCCTCATCCCCCATTCTGGTACAGCCCCCAGAATGCCACTTTTTTGGGTACACTGACCTTGGCTCTGCCAGCCGAGCTGGGATGAGCAAGTTATATGATTGGGGACTTAGCACTGGTTTAGCCAGAGATCCTCTGCATCCTAATCTTTTCAACCTGGCAGATCTTGCCATAAGATTGCCCCCTCAGTGAGTTAGTAGTAAATGTTTAGTACTTATCCATAGGCGTTCATCATTTTGCCTTCTCTCTGATTTAACTAATCACATCCTTACACAAATATGGCAATAATTGCTTTGCAGAAAGCTGTAACAATGCATATTTGGAAACTTTCTTCTTGTTTCAGTTAAGAAATGGATTTCTTCTCACAAGCTGAAATACTTAGGTGTACCCAAGTACTGGGGTTCTGGCTTGCATCAAAAGAATGGCAAAAGGTACAAACCATTTCTTATTTTTGAGTTTATAGGATTTTTCATAGCCACTACTCCCCCTGTGTGAGTTTCTCACATGCTTAGCACATCTCAGTAACTGATGGCCTTTGGTGTTGTGTCAGCATTCAGACTTAAAAGTTGATCAATGTGAAAATATCAGAGGAATTGCCATGTGAGAAAAAAATTCTATATAGAGAATTAAACCTGTACTAACAGTTAAATTAATGTTACTGATGAACAGATCAATGTTACTGGAAATATGTACGGACAGATGCATTCAAAAGGCATTGTTAGATGAATTTTAGAACTTTTCCCCTGAATTGTATCCGGTTGTGTCCCTCTACTTGATGGGAAACTCTTGAATGTAGTAGCAGCAGTGTTTTTTTCCTGGGGGGGGGTGCAGGGGTATGCATACCCCTAAACCTTTTGTGAATCTAAGTTTGGCTTCATTGAGGCCAATATGAGTAGGAAAATGAGAGTACCCCTAAAGATATATTTTTTTAGAAAAAAGGTGCTGAGTAGAAGCTTATGTCACTACTGGAAATACAATTTTATCTGATTCTCCCTTCCTTCTAGAACCTCCTGCACCTCCCAAAGTCTTCTCCAGAGGGTTGGGGAAGTAGCATAAGAGGCTGCAGGAGAAAGGGGGCATTTTTTAAAAAAACCCACCCACCCAGACAGCTCACAGAAGATTCTACATGATCAAAGAGCCCTTATGTTTGGGGAGGGACTGAAATTGTCTATAACCCTCTATCTTTTGTGGCTTTTTTTTAAAAAACAACAACAACAACCCAAGGGCTTCTGAAGATACACCCTTACATATAGCTCAGACGTTAGAGCATGATACTCTTAATCTCAGGGTCATGTTGTTTGAGCCCCACATTGGGTGAGATTCCCGCATTTCAGGGGGTTGGACTAGATTACTCTTGTGGTCCCTTCCGGCTCTATGATTCTAGGAGCAACTTTTCACAGTCAACTAATGCAGCTTCTATTTCTGTGTGAGTCACAAAAGCCCTCCCATGTGCACTCCACGCTTTCCGTAATTTTGCTTTCTGGTTTCTTTTCCTTGGAATAGTTGCTTGAATGTTCTGCAGCTTTCAGCAGCAAGTTGTTATGAGTACCACCCTGAAAGGGTGGGTGGGTGGGTGCTGTGGGTTCCGTAGTGGTGTTTCCATTTTTAATAAAGCATTGAAATGCCGTATCCTGCTGCTCAAAAGCAATGAGAACTGAAGCAATCTGTTAAAAGTGCATTTTCGATGGCTGTGAACCAGATAGAGTCCTCGGTGGGATCAGGGCATTCTGACCTCATTGCAGGGCATTAGCACCAGCCAGACCCAAAGCAAAATAAAAATGAGTCAGTTATGTATTGCTTCCTGTACAGCCAGCTTTTTCTCAGAGCGTGGAATATTCACAAGCATTATAGGGCCTTTGGGGGGGGCATTTTTTGGAAAAGCAGCTCAACACCACCATGATTTGCTTTTTCAACTCCTTCAGTTTTTTGTTTTTTAAATGAGCAATTCGAAAATTGAAATGGAAATTATGAAATAACCATTCATCAAAATATTAAATAAAAAAGTAGAAGAGGAGAGAGAAGCAGACTGACCCAGTCTTGTCATTTGACGCAGAGCAGGATCCTTTCCATTTAGTCAACGGCTTCCTGTTTCTGCAATTGAATCTTATTGAGGTTGGTGAGACAGTGCCCCACTGGCTGTAATGGATTAACCTCCACTGCTTGAAAGAATTACATTTTCAGTTTGAGATCATAGTATTTATGGACGTTCTGCTTCCACATAATCATTCCTGCCTCCTAAGATATTTTGGCGAGGCCCAGACCTCTGCCCCACTTTCACCCGCTGTCATGGGACAGGAGACCTGACCCTGGAACGCTCTCCCTCAGGAACCTAGTCTTTCCCCTGTTCATCCTTAGGAAACTCGCTTAGCTCTTCTTATTCTGACAGTCCTTCACTGTTCATTTGTTCTCCTGTTTAGACTTCTCAGTGGCTTATTGTGTGTATCTTTTGTTGCTACATAATTTAAATAAATACATTTAATGTATCTACAGTAGATATTAAATTTCTGTTGTTAAATGTGTATGTTTATTCATTTTGTACTTTGCTTTGGGGCTTTTTTTTCCTTTGCTGGAAAGCAACCTAAAATTTAAAATACACTAAAAAGGTATATATATATATATATTAAGGTATCTCGTATGGATTTTCTTAAAGGCTATGTTTTCTTTTTCTGAAACCAGCTACAGATTTATGGTAATGGACAGATTTGGGAAAGATCTCCAGAAGATTTTTGAAGAGAGAGGAAAGCACTTTACCCGCAAAACAGTACTACTGTTGGGCTTGAGAATAGTAAGTTAAAAATTAAGTATCATTAGTGCTATCTAATGTAGTTTCTTTGCTTTAAAGTTAACCTGTAAAGAGTAGTTGCCCTCTGCTGTGTGTGGTTTATATATGCTGAAATTGTTCTGTTATGTCTTCATTAGCTTGATGTTTTAGAATACATTCATGAACATGAATATGTGCATGGAGACATCAAGGCCTCAAATCTTCTCCTGGGCTACAAGGTTCCACATCAGGTAACTTCCAGGTTTTTTCTTTCTTCATTGTTTAACCTATTGTTTTTTTTTTTTAAAATGGAGCTGCTGTGAACCTCAGCAGAAATCTTGCCTTTATGAATGTGTACAGCATTAATATTTCTGCTTGACATTTATATCTAGTTAATGTTGTACATTTTTTATTCACTTTGCTGGCAGTTGATCAAATTGGCTATTCTGCCCTGAATAATATTCAGGAGAATGCTTGCGATACAAAATGAATTTCAAATAGCTATTTGGGGGTGGAAGTTTAAAATTATATAGTACACCGGTGAATTACATTTGCCTGTCTGCTTTGTCAATTTTTTATTTCCTTTGTTTGAAGAATCCATCAAGCATAAGTGTTCTGTTACTTGGAAAACCTGATTTTTAACATGTTGATTGTTCAAATCAATTGGTTTACAGAAATATCTGTAGCTGTCTAATTTTATTATTATTATTATTTTACATCTTTAGTGTTTGGCAAATGCACATACAAAGTCCATAATTTCCCCTTGTTTGAGTGCTTATCTTGGAGTGAATAAGCGAGTGTTATACTTTTTTTAAAGTGGCCCAACTAGCCTTGCAAATGAATTTGTGACACTTACTAGTCTACAAAAATAAAAAAGAAAAAAAAGAAAAAGCTTTACTAGTCTGCTACCCACATGTATATGGACTAAACTGGCCAGAGGTCTAAATGTCACTGGGCAATTGCATTTTTTTTAATATATACCCAAGAAAGAGTGCCAGCAAGGAAAGATCAGCTCCTGCCCTCATCTAATAAAGATGCCCATTTAAAGTTCACTGCTGTTCTGGCATTGCTGAACTGATCTCCATCCTCTACCTATTCCCTCCCTTCCCTTCCCTTCCCTTGGATGTCTTGTGTTTTTTAGTCTGCCAGCCTGAGGTCAAGGCCTGTGTCTCATTTTAATTTATGTACAGTGCCTCCCACCAGGACTGTATTGAATTTTTCATTGATGTGAGCTGCTTTGGGAGACAATATTTTTGTCCAAAAGGTAGGATGAAAATATAATTATTAAAAGCGGTTGAACATTTTTGTTAAATCCTTTAATATCAAATTAAGTATTCAACCAGAGGGTAGAAAACTCTTGGTCCTATTGGAGGAAGGGAGAACAGAATTTCTCCATTTAAGGTATAGGGAAGAAGATGGCGCTGATACTGACTGGAGTCACTGTGCCAATTAGTGAGTCTCAAACAGATGCAAACCATCCTCTGCCATCTGAGTGGGTAGTGTCTGTTTGCTAAAAAATGAGCAGGAGTCTTCTGTAACTGAGTGAAAGCACTTACCATCTTACTGAGCATTCGTGATAGGTTTTAAAAAGAAATTATAGATCAAACTTATCTTGGTGGCTTGACACAAATCGGAGCCTTCGGGTCTCCACCAGCTCACCTGGGGCAATTTTGTCAGATTCATGCAGCCAACCAAATGTTTCTTTTTCAAGGATTATGAGACAATATAGTATTTACCTATATAGTTTAAAATACCCCCCCTGTTATTTTAAAGATTGTATTGGATTGCTCTAGATCAGAGACCAGGAATCTGTGGCCTTCCCGTTGTTGTTGGACTTTAACTCCTATCAGTCCCAGCCAGCACGGCCAGAGATGATGGGAGTTGAATCTCAGCCTTGCATTTAAGCACTAGCCTGGTAGCCATAAGTGACAAAGAATTGCATACAGGTGAGCAAACAGGCTGTTGGAGGAGAGATGGAGTGCTCCTTCCCTGCCTTGTGTCCATAGAAACCAAGCAGGCTGCCAGAAGACAAAAAAACCCTCCTCCATGCCCATCATAGAAATACAGCGGGCTGCTGCAGCAGAGACAGAGTTTCCTGTACCAGTCCCCAGCAGGATAGCAAAAAATTGTTACAGGCTAGTAACTTTTGTGGGTTTATTTGCAAGGTTGTTTTAATCCACTGGTCTTCCCATCCCTGCTCTAGATAGAAACACAGCATGCAGGTAGACTTGCTTTAACTTGGTTTCTTCCTTTATTTAAACAGCAACAAAAAGCAAGTATCTCACGATGGAATTGTCTTATATTGGAGTACATGGAATCAATGATTAGTCACACCCAGTCATGAATGCCCCTTCTGTAGGCAAGGTAGTGGAGAGAGCAGTTGGAGAAATTCCCGGAAGATGTGGACTAGCTAGATCAATTTCATTCTGGGTTCAGGTTCGGATTTTTGACTGAACCAACCTTGGTCACCCTGATAGATGACCTGGATTGATAGAGGGACGGCGGGATGCATCTTTTGCTCCTGCTTCTCAAACCACCTGCAACTTTTGATACAATTGACAAGGGTGGCTTTCTGGGGGAGGTATTGGGGGCACTGGTTTACAGTGGTTCCATTGCAACCTGCACATAACCCTGGTGCTTAAAAACTTGCACCGGCTGCCCATATGTTACCCCAGCCAGGTTCAAGGTTCTTGTCTTAATTTACAAGGCCTTTAACAACATGGGTCCAGAGTATCCAAAGGACCACTTGATCCCTTATATCCCAGCTTGATCACTGAGATCTTTTGTGACATCTCTGTTGGCGATCCCCTGTGGCTCAGGTGGCATGGCTCATAACTGCTAGAAGCCATGTGTTCAGAGCTGTGGGCCCAAACCTATGGAGCTCTCCTCCCAACTGAGACTAGACAGGCACTTCCTTGCTGAACTTTACATGCATGGCAGTAGAAGCTAGTGTTCCGTTTTATGATGACTTTTTTATTATTTTATATTCTGCATGGTTTATGTTTATGTGCATTGCTTAGAAATATATAAATGACAGTATATAAATATATAAATGACTTTAACAAAGCAATAAGTAAAAATGAATAGTTTTTAGATGTTTGTTCAAGTATAACCTAAGCATTTGAAGTCTGAATGATAAGAGAATTTTTGGAAGTATTGTAAAGCGTCCTTATAAACTCTTGGATGACGCTTGTCTTGGGTGCATTTGGAATCTTAATAGGTGTACTTGGTGGATTATGGCCTCGCCTATCGATACTGTCCGGAAGGTAACCACAAAGATTATAAAGAGAATCCCAAGAGGTGTCCATGATGGAACTCTTGAATTTACTAGTATTGATGCTCACAAGGGGGTGGGTAAGTAGTTTTGCTTTGCTTCTTGCATAACGTTTCTTGTGGTTGCTGTGAATGCAAGGTAACGAGCTTGAAAATGTGGCCATGTTGAAATACTGGTCTAAAGTAGCCCACTTACATATCAAGAATTAATTTAGAATCCCACAGTGGGAACAAAGCTGCGAATAATTAGCAGAATAACTTGAAACGATGTTACAAGCCAGATTGTAGTAGTGTTGGAGAATAATAATACAGTAGCACTTCGGCTTACGTTACCCTCGGGTAATGTAAGCTTCGGGTTGCGAAAGCGGCAAACCCAGAAGTGTTTAGCCGCGCATGCATGCATAGAAGCGGCCCCTCTGGTTGCAGAAACCTCGGGATTCGACTGGAGCTCCGGAACGGATCCTGTCCACAACCGGAGGTACCACTGTATCAACATTGTCTGCAAACGGGACATCTGCGTGCTGAAATCTTTGTACAGATTGTCTTACTTGGCCAGTCAAATATTAATATATTTTATCATATTGCCCAAGTATATAAAACAAGACTACTTTTTTTTAAAAAAACACACATATTAGCTCTTAAAAAATATGTTTAGATCTTAGATGGTAAAGAATGGATGAAGTGATACATTTGAAATGATGAGAGAGGCAAGCAGGCCTTATGCTGATTCAGGACTGTTGGGTCAGCCATCTAGCTTAGTGTTTGGCTTATACTGACTGACAAGGGGAGGGAGGGAGGGGGGGGGACTTCGCCAGGGTTTCATGCAGGAGTCTTTTTCCAACACCTGCCTGGGAAACGGCAGGAATTGAAACCCAGGACTTTTCTGCATGCGAAAGCACAGTTCTGAATCTTTTTTTTTTTATAATTTCTTTTATTAAGTTCTTTTAACACATACAGAAAGAAAAACAAATACATTCATCAAAATAAAACAATAAGGTATCAGAAAAGAAAATATCAAAAAACAAAAAAAGCAAAAAGAAAAAAACAACACTAAAAACATCGACTTCCTTCCCTACTGATTTCGGGTTCATACTTTTAATGGGTTTGTTATTACTGCTGGTATTGGTTTTTTGGTATAAGCATCGGAAGTTTTATAACACGCCTGCTATAGTTGGTAGGTTTCTAAAATTACCTCAAAATAAACCAGAAGCTTGTTCCAATCCCTCTTTAACTTTGTATTTTTCTTGAATCACTACATTCTTTGCGTCATTCTTGCCAGTTCTATAAAATCATATAATTTTAATTGCCATCCCTCACTGTTTGGAAAGGTTTGTACTTTTCCAATTTTGCGCAATTAATGTTCTGGCCGCTGCTGTTGCGTATGGGAAATAAGGTCTTTATCTTTTTCGGTTGATTTCTTTCCCGACCCATCCCAATAGGAAGGCTTCCTGGGTTTTTGGGAAAATGTGTATCTAAGTATCTTTTTTAACTCATTGTATACCCTGATCCAGACATGTTTTTTATTTCCTCGCGATGCCACCACATATGTATAAAACTGCCTTCTTTTATTTAACCATTTCCAGCAGGCCTTTGTCTACAGTTTTATACATCCTGCTTAGTTTTTCTGGTGTCAGGTACCATCTATATAACCATCTTTACCAAATTTTCTTTGATGCAGCGCTTGCCGTGAATTTAGTCCCTCATTCCACAATTTTGACCATTTTTCATATTCTATATTGTGCCCCAGATCCATCGCCCACTTAACCATAACTTCCTTAATTTCTTCGTCTTTAGTCTCCCATTCCAATAGTATGTTATACATCTTAGATAATATCTTGGATTTACTTTCAATTATTTTCAATTCTGAAATTTAGACTTCTTTTCATTCATTCCTGTTTTTTTGTCTTCCGTCCATTTTGCATTGATTTGATGGTACTGGAGCCAACCCGTCAGCCTCTCCTTTATTTCTTCGTACGGCCTTAACCTCCAACTATCTTGGATCTTACCAATAAGTCTTCATACGTCAATTTTTGCTCTTCCATATTTATTTTTTTAATTGGAAAGTTATCTGTTGGGATAGCCACCAAGGTGTTTTCCATTCTAATAATTTTTATTTTTTTCCAAACTTCATACAGGGGACCTCTAATAATGTGGTTTCGAAAACCCTTTGTGTGTCTTTTCTTTTATTTGACCAGAGGTAGGCATGCAGCCGAACCTGTTTGCCGGCCCCTTCTAAGTCTAACAAATCTGTGTTCTCCAAGGTTGTCCAATCTTTGCACCACAGCAAAGACAGGCCGCTTCATAATATAGTTTTTAAGTCAGGTACTGCCAGCCCCCTCTCTCCTTACGATCTGTAAGTAGTTTGAATCTAATCCTTGGCCTTCTTCCCTGCCATATGAAATCTCGAAAGAGTTTTCTGCCAGTCCTTAATATTTTGGTCCCTCTGATGACAGGTATATTTTGAAATAGGAACAGCATCTTAGGGAGTATGTTCATTTTATTGCTTCATCCTGCCCAGCCACGAGAGGTTCACCCTATTCCAGACATCCAGATCTTTTTTAACTTTGTTCCCATGTTGGTATATAATTGTCTTCGATTAAGTTTATATTTTTGGGTGTTAGCCAAATTCCTAGATATTTTATTTTTTTGCCACTTTGATTCCATACTTGTCTCTAGTCCTTCCTTCCCATCATTTCCTATATTCTTCGTCAACATTTTTGTTTTTAGTTTTGTTCAACTTGAAGCCGAAGTTTACGTACTCCTCCAATATCTCCAGTGCTTTGCCATGCTTTCTTGTGTGTTCTTTCAAGGGATAACATCAGGTCGTCTGCGTATGCCTTTAATTTATATTCTTTAAGTCTATTTGATCCCTTTATTCTTGGTTTTGATCTTATTTTATTCGCCAAGATTTCTAAGACCGAATAACAAGTCGGGAGAGGGGACATCCTTGTCTCGTTCCCTTTTCTATTTTGAATCTGTCCGTATGTTATTGTTTATACCCAATTTAGCATATTGATTTGAATATATTGCCTGTATCCCTTTCAGAAATTCACCCTCAATCCCTGCCTTTTCTATAGATTTTAATAAGAACCGCCAAGAGACGTTATCGAACACCTTTTCTGCGTCTATAAAGATCAGGGACGCCGGTATATTGTTGTTGACCTCCAAATATTCAATTATGTTTACCACATGTCTCACATTATCCTTCAAGAATCTGTTTGGGAGGAAACCCGCTTGATCTTTATGAATTAGGTTTATTAAACATTTTTTCAATCTATTCGCCATAATATCGGCATAAATTTTATAATCGTTATTTAATAGCGATATTGGCCTGTAGTTCTTCATGTTCAGTTTATCTGTGTCTGGTTTGGGGATTAGTGTTATAAAGGCTTCCCTCCATGACTCGGGTATTTTCCCTCCTCTTAGAATATTATTCATGGTGTCACAGAGTATTTGTACTAGTTGATCTCCCAGAACTTTGTAATATTTGGCTGATAAACCGTCCGGGCCTGGTGCTTTCCCAATTTCATTTTTTTTATCGCACTTTCAATTTCTTCTATGCTTATGGGTCTGTTTAGTTGAATTCTTTCTTCTTCTGTGACAGTCTTCCCTATGCACCTCTCCAGATATTTTTCTATTGGGATGCGTCCTCTTCTCCTTTTTTATATAGCTCCTCATAAAATTGAAGAAATTTTGTTGTATTCTTTTTGGGTCTACTATTAATTCTTCTTCTACCATTATTTTATTTATAACATTTTGCTTCTGTCTTTTTCTCAATTGCCAGGCTAGGAATTTCCCCGTTTTGTTCGCCGATTCAAAATATCTCTGCCTCATTAGTTTGATTTTCCATTCTATTTCCTGATTCGTTAATATTGGAGTATTGTCTTTGTAATATTCTTTATTGTTTGTAAACTTTGTTCATCTTTCGGGTGTTTTGTTAATTTTTTCTCATGCTCCCTTAACTGTCTGAGTATTTCCTCTATCTTTTGCTGCTTTATTTTTTTCCTGTAATTATTCTGCTGAATGAAAATCCTCTTAAAACTGCCTTGCTGGCGTCCCATACTGTTTCTATATTTATATCTGTGTTAAGATTCAGACCTAAATATTCTTTTAGTGTAGCTTTGGCTTTTTCGATGACCTCATCATTGTCTAGCAGATAATCATTTAATCTCCATCTGAAGCCTCCTTGCGATTCCCCTTTTATTTCCAAAGTTATTGAGTTATGGTCGGAGAGGGTTCTCGGTTGGATTTCGCATTTTATAACTCTTAAGGTGATTTCTCTTGAGGCCCAAATTTGGTCTATTCTTCCCCAGCTTTTGTGTACCTCTGAAAAGAAAGTAAACTGTTTTTCTGTTGGGTGCTTATATCTCCATACGTCTGTTAGGTCCATGTTCTCTTCTAAATTGTGGAATGATTCCGGTAACTTTCCCTGTTTTCTTTTTCTCTTTTCTGTTTGTCTGTCCATTTCTAATGTCGGCACTGCATTGAAGTCTCCCAGTAGTATCATCTTGTGATCTCCTAATTCTAATAATACTTGTTCCAATTTTTTATAGAACTCTAGCCTATTTGTGTTTGGGGCGTAGATGTTTACTACGTTAATTTTCTCTCCCTTAAAGCTTATTTGAACCCCCAGAATCCTTCCTTCTTCGTCCTTATATATCAGTTTGGGTTCCCATTTTCCATCAACATATGTTACCACTCCCCTTTTTTTCTCTCTCCCTGAATTTATGAATTCTGTTCCCAAGTTCTTATTGACTAATACATGTTTGTGCTTTTTGACTACATGGAGTCTCTTTGTATACAGATTACATCCAATTTTTTCTTCTTCAACACATTTGCAATTTTATTCCTTTTTGTTTTTTCGTTCAGACCATTTACATTCCATGTTAAAATTTTAAGATTCATTATCTAGAAGGTCAGTAATTTGTCGGTTTAAGTTTTAAGGCTTCTTGACCGATTTGAGTTCAGGTGTTTTAGTTCTCTGCTTCCTCCTGTTCCTCGCCTGTTTAGGGAAGTTCTTAATATTTAATGCTGTACTGTTTTAACACTTGATTGGAAGCCGCCCAGAGTGGCTGGGGAAACTCAGCCAGGTGGCCAGCGTATA